GTCTCTTACTGTGCGTCCCCATCGGGACGGTCCCGGCAACCCGGTCGGAACGCGGTGAACCTCCGCGATTCGAACGAAACATTTGGTCCTTCGAGCCGGATCCCCATTTGGGGGGTCCACTGCAATGGCCCGCCGCCGAGGTCGTTGCGGCGGTCGCCGAAATTTCTCTACGATCTGGTGGTACTTCTATGGGACTGTAGAAAGTGGCAAGGCCACTCAGTGTCAGTACGCAAATTCCGAACATCGACCATTTACTCCTATGCGAATGCATTATGAAATAACATCCAAAGGCGTGGACGGTTCCGCCGTCTGCCAGATCGTTCTTATGGACGAACGGGGCGCGGCTGCGTTCAGCCATGATATCCTCGTTCCATCCGCCTCGTCAGTGAAAGGCTCCATAAGATGGCCGCGGAACATCGAGCCATTCAACACCCAAGATGGCGTCGTGGCCAACGTGATTCATAATGCGGGAGTCGTCATCAGATACGTCATCCGTTGCCAACTACGGCTTTCCCAGGGTGTGGCCAAATTAGGACTTCCTGATCGGGAGATTCCATGGCCCCCTGCTCCGCATCCCACCCCCACTCCAACTCCCGCCTCCCACTCTGGCAAGCTGACCCGTCATCACGCAGAGGAGGGAGGTCCATAAGGCTGCTGCCAGGGTTAGACGACAGCCATTCGTCGCCCGCAAGCCGAAGCGAGAGGTCGTCGGTGTAACCACTGATCACCGCGACGGATTTACGCCCATGGAGTTAGTGCCTGAGATTCCGACCTCGCAAGAGGATGGCACGTAAGGGATACGGATTGGGAATAGAAAGAGTGGGACTAATGTTTGTCTCGAAGCTCAATCTATGAGGACCATCCGTGAAGAGGAAGGGTGCAGGGTGGGAGGATTCGGTGACTCCTACCCAGACACAAAAACTCCCTCTCAGTCCCCCCCTGAACCCGAGAGGTCAACCGGATCACTTACCGGGAACCCTCAAGGGCGACGGGACAGGATGCCATAGGATTCATGTCCAATAAGAAGACCAAAACGCGGATCCGACCTGTACAGGCAGGGTGTTGGGCTACGAATCGGGAGGGGAGCGAGCAAAGGGGCTGTCGCAGCCCACTGACACGCTCCCCGAAGACCATTCGTGAAGAGGCAACACGGGGGAAAAGACAGATGGGGAACCCTGTCGACTCCAGCCGCATTTCGCCTCTCAGTCCCCGCTGTGACCCCAGGATGACGGAAAACTCGTTCAGAGCCAGTACCCTCCACGGGAAGTCACGGTGGCGAACACAGGATCCGCGGAGGACAACGGACCGGGTGGGTTCCAGGAGGTAGCCTGGGAGTGGCAAGGGCCCGGAACCCGAGGACCGTCCGTGAAGCGGGGAGGTAGAGGTATCCGTCCACTGACGGAATACCAGATACAAAATTCCCCCTTCGTCCTCGGTAATAGAATAAGATAGGAGCCGGTGAGTCCGATTGCTGACGTTGGCACAGGCATGCGTACACCGACCGCACATACGAACACCTGCTTGTGCGAAAGTTCAGTGGGCAAAGGACACCGGTACCGGAAAGCTGGCGGGATAGCGGACAAGGACGCGAGGTCAACCACTGAACCCGGAGGATCTGCGAATGGATGCTCTTGGAACGGGGACAAGTCACCAATCTTTAAATAGATTTTCACGCGACGGGGCCCGGATGCGATACCGGACAGTGGGGCGTATACTGGTAAACCGAGTCTCGGAAGTATGAAGAGCATCACTTTGCGAGATATCGGCCCAACGAGCCCCACGATCATCGTATTCTGGAAGGCAGTTCATTACGGACGGAGCACCAGACGTATAGTACGGCACTACTGAAAATAGGCCTCGCGTGCCGGTAAAACACCGTGACCCTGGAACACATATATCGACGGGTCACGGGGGCGTTTGGCACACGCTGCAACGATCCGTGGTACGCCGGAGAGAAAGAGCATCAACCATTAGGGACGGGTGCGCTCTTCGACCAAGGACGCGAGCGGTGGTCCCTGATGAAGCTGATATTTACTCTTCGGAGAAATTTCGGTAAAGTCCGGTGGGCTGTCGTCTCGCGTCGCGTTCCTTGCAGACTATAGGGTGGGGGGAGGGCGCGATCTACTCTATTCCGTTTTCCTCACTATTAAACTCACACACCCAGCTTTCGATTAGACTAGATTCACATGGCGGTGGATTCATTTATGGTCCATCGCGGCTCCCAGGGGAGGTGATCGCCGAACCCGGCCACGTCTCTCTTTGAGGCCGGCTAGAACGACCTCTCTATGTATCACTATATGAGTTCCGGGACTCCCTCCTTGACTTTGAGGGTTGGTAATTTGACACAGGGTAAACAGAGGAGAGGGGGTTCCTGGAATAGTCGGGACACAGGCAAATATCAATAGGGGGTTGAACTAGGCGATACAGCTCTCTCTCGGTGATGACAGTACATACGATGAAACCACCCTTGTACAGACCCGGTCTGTGGGTGAAGCAAAGAGTGAGCTGGTACTCACTTTGGAGACAAAGAATCGGTTGTCTCGACGTTCACACTCCTTTAGCTGATCATGTTAGGTAAGGATGGGACGATTCTAGTGACTCTCCACCCCGCACGAGTTCCCCACCTTCATGCGGCCCGGGCCTAAAAAAGTTAGGCGGGTTGGAAAATCGGGGATATATCATCCCCGGGTAACGCCCACGGTAGTCTTAATCGCGGGACTACGGGATAGCTAACGACACTATAAGTCAAAGCTGGGCCTTGGAGGGGAGTACCGACACTCCCCTCTCCCGGGAGAATTGTCCAAACTAAACTAAACTAGGTATGGGTTAGCTCGTTCGAGCGCCCGTGCCGTACGCATGACCGAATGAAACGCGTCTAATTAGTGGGAGTGGTTATACTGTACGCGTATCGGTCGTCCGATGTCACACGCGTTCGTCGTATACGAGCGTCAAAACGCACGGGAAATTGCCGACACGATATCACTTCAACCGTTATATTTTAGTTATTTTTCAACATAGGGCTCTGATTTAACGCTCGTTATAAAGCTGAAGGAATGTTGTTTTCAAGTTTATGCACAAAATTTTGGTTATTGGTAATCAATATAGTTATAATTAATATTAATTATTGAAATGCCGATTTGACACTGTTCCCACGTATGGATCAATGGAGAAAATACTATTGGGTTCCTTGAGTCTTCAACTTTAAAATACACTTTTCAGGAAGATGGAGCGTTTTCGGGAAAATGTAAAAAAAAAATAAAGTTTATCATGATATATGTCGCGCAGCGAGTGCAGATGCCGCGATCAGTCGAACAGTTCAGACGCAGTGTGCGGCCGAAATTGAGGGAGGGCTCTTCTCTGGGGGGGTACTATTGCCCCCCCCCTCCCCGCCCCCGGGGATCCACTGTAACCTATTATCTAACGAAATTGTTGGAAACACTTGTTAATAGTGTTTGAACGAAAATTCTATACAATTTACAATTTTTCGGAAATGCTACAAAAACTCTAAAAACATGGATAACTGAATAACTGTAGTTCGATTGCAGTGAAATTTTTCAGGGATAATTTTCTTATGACATGGAACCATTCTAGAGGGTGAGAGCAAAGAAATACAGAAACAAATTTGCGTCGTGCATAAACAAGGGACACCCTAATGGGGCATATGTATCCCAGTGGGGAGTTACAAAATTCTGGTGGAAAACTTTATACGCAAAACAGCTACATATTCACTGGGTATACATCCCCTTCAAATCTCTTAATGTAATCAAAAATTTGATATAGTGTTTATTAAATTTTTATCGAATGTTGCGGCTAGCGGCAGCGGCCCGTTTCGATACACTTTCACTGTAACATATATATATATGGTTTGTATGTGTACATGTAACATAATTATGGTTTGTAGTTTTATCCAGCTTTTGAAACGTTCATTAAAAGGGGCGTGCGTGAATAAATTTTATTTGCAGCAAAGACTTGATTCGCGTTTATTGTTGGTTTACAGTGCTCGCGATAACACTGGAACTACAATCGAGATGGCAGACCATTTAAATTTTACTCTTTACAAAGCAACTGCCGATAATAAATGGGTTATTCAATTTATTTGCATGTACTAGGGTACACTGAAGCTCTTTCAATGGAAAATAAAAACTGTCTACTTGACTTATTCCTCGTTCGTAGCATTCATTAAATTCGAAACGCCTTTACATTCTAACATCCTTTTTTCTCAAAAATACTGAATGTACTGGAGAATGAAAACAATTATTATTGTAGCAGCTTTTGATTTTTTAAAAATACATAGTAAATGAGACAAGATATAACGAATTACTTATTAGTACAGTATTAAAAAAATTGTGTTTTAAAAATGTTTGTCTTTGCAATTATTGCTCAGTAAAATTTACATAACTGGTATTTCTTACGTGAGTAATTAAAGAGAAACCATAATATGTACATTTTTAGCACTTTTTATTGTTGATATTATATAAAGATAGAAGACAAAAAAAATATATATTCAATTTTTCAATTTTACTTTTTTCTCACTACTTGATTTCTCTTCATCTTTCTGAACTCCCAAATAAATTCTCAACGATTTATGATGTTCAAAAATATTATTTTTAATAAATCCATTTACTTCTTCTTTTTAAATGTATTTTTCTTAGTAGCAAAATTTTCGTCAATCTAGTTTGATTTAATTTCAGATGACATTTATTTACAAGTTAGCTGTATTATTATCCACGTTTTAGTACGTAATGCATCCATAGTATTTTGTCTACAGCATTATACATTTATGTATTATGTCTAATTGTAAGTGTGTACTGCATTTAAAATGTTCTGTTTTATTTTTTCCATATGCTCATGATTTAAAGGCTATTTACATAGTAAGACATTCAACAGTGAACCGTAAATCTTATGTAATTATTAATTGCAGTAACGTATTACAAAGTGAGTATTAATTTTGTAGAATGTCGTTTCAATCAGTTTGCAATCTGTTTGCGCGTTGAACTCACCGGAAATACGGACGAACACTGCTTTCTGTTCCCCACTGTCCACCGTTATCTCTGTAGTCCTCTTCTGCAACGAGAACAAGACATCTTCAATTAAATTTTATTACTCTGTAACTTTTGATTTTTAATAGCACAACAACGAGGTACGACGTAACATGATATTATACTGTAGGTACTGAATGAAATGAACGGAATAAATTAAGGATTCATTTCATATCGAACCATCGCAAGATCTCACAAATACGTGTTTTCAGTAAACTTCAGTTTCCTTCTGTCGCGTCGCGTATACAGTTTTTAGAAATACCGTTATGGTCACTTTACCGTCATTGGGGTTTCTAACAGCTGCTAAGACCGAGGGTAGGATTTGCTACGTGATTTTTTCTTTAATTTCTAAACTGCGAAACTCCGGCTTCCTTTAATTGCTTTACGACCCTTTATGGCTCGAGTCAGGCAAAGAGTGTTGGCCATGTGGGCAATTATTACCTGCGACGGAAGTCTGATCTTCGCGCGGACCGGCGTTACCCTGCCATCGAGTACCATAGAAAAAGACTTTCCACCAATCACAGGGCTTCTAGCTTGTTTTAACCAATAAGAATATAAAAATATTCACTGCGTTTTCCACCTACGTGTCAACGCACCACCACCGCCACGTCTAGTCTACCGAGAGACTTTTCGTTATTAGATTGCTATGTAGTCAGAACAACACCGTCCAGTTACCAGCACACATCAACTCCGATAGACATAGATTCTTGTAGCTATTTATTATACAGTACCTCACAACCATAGTGCAGACTTATTGATTGTTTCATAAATAAATTTATACAGACCACTTACATCGCATTGAGTTTCAATATACTCAAACATCATTAACCCGACATTTGAGATACGCGGAAGAGTTCGGCAACTAAGATGAAACAGCCGCGTACGGTACAACTTCTATTTATAAGTTTGATCTGTTCTACATTATACATTAATTTTTTTAGAGATATACTGTTATACAAGAAACAAAGAACAAGAAAATACATTTGTGAATCATAAATGAATAATAATATTTGTCCTACGTTTATTTAACCCTTTAACGCCCAGACCCTTAAATCGTTATTTTAAAATTATGAGACTGATATATATGTTGTATCTTGTTATTTTGAAGTTGAAAATATGGATATTCAACAGGCCTTCTTTTTTTCTTTTTTCATTTACTTTTAGAGGAAATACTTGAGTTTCTCAACTGAAAACATGCAGATCTACTTTAAATCAGTGAAACTACGGATCCTTGTTGACAAAAGTTAAATGCTAACCGGTGACAAAATTTAACACATTTTTAAAATAAGTGTTGCACCACTGCAACACTAGGAGTTATAAAAAGTTAAATCAATAGCAACGAATTTCTCGCCAATTCTTTTTAAAAAAATTCCCCTTGTCTTCCAGATATTGTTCTGTCCCCACGTTGAGTTCTTGGCGGTCCATGTAACGGAGGCGTCACGCACAATTTTTATTCTGAAAACGTCACCTAATCTTGCTTTGTACATCAAGGATCAGTTTCTACAACAATTACGCGGCTACATAAACACTTTGGTCATCGTACGCGTTGTTGTTTTAAAGTCGTCGGTCGTCGTTTATCGTCGTTTAATAGGAACGCGAGGGTTAATACGGGTAATCAAGGTCCCAATCAATATAAACTGTTCCCCTACATTGTTGTGCAAACATGCTTATAAGTGTGCACTAGGTGTAATAAAACTACTACATGGATTTAATAACCGTGAACGGCGATCCATCGCGTGGATTCCGTGTGCAGCTTATACGAGGGTCGTTCAATGGATAAAGAGACAAACGGCTATCTTTTTAATATGATTTATTCAACGAATCTGATAATTTACCTATTTTTGGACATAATCCCCAGCTATAACACTAGAAAACAAACTAAACATTTTTGTCCATGTTGTCAGGGATTTAAAATCGGTTTCAGAGTACTTGAGGATCCTGATTTCGCATTACATCTTCGTCGTAGCTAAATTAGCTGCGATTTCCAAAATAATCGATACTGTTGAAATTTAACGTTTGTGTCAATTTGAAGTATCTACTACTTTTGCTTTTTTGTTACTTATCCTTTTTTCAAAACCCTCTTGTTTACTTTCGGGTTACTGATTTCCAAAGTAAAGAATAAATTAAATGATTTTATTTTGCTTTAAAGGTGAATTTTATGGAAGTAATTGTGTATTGTTTTGTAAATTCTTTCATTGCTTTTTAATAGTTTTCTATGTAATTATCCTGTCTCTCCTTATAGTATTTTATAAATAAAATTAATTCAGAATCATAGAAATTGCTTATTTCATTTCTTTCCTTATTTTGCATAAATATTTACGACATATGCATATTTCAAAAACTAAAGTCTATCAAGAAAAAAAAATCGCATATTCAGGATCAGGAGTACTAAATTACTCAAAATCAACTCATAAATTTAGCAATTATACATTTATGCCGTCGCTCTACTTGCTTGTTTATACAAGTTTATACAAAGTTTTGTTCTTTCTCGTGCTGTTACAAAGTTATTTTAAGAAAAAGAGAAAATGCAAAAACTGTAAGGCCTAATTTCGCTCCTTCAGAATGAATTTTGGTAGAAAAAAATGCTCCTAAGCGTACTTTAATACTCTGCATTCATGTGAAGTTTCACTAAAATCAGAATTTTTGGGTTCGGAATCTACCCTTGTGTGAGTCCGAGACGAGAAAAGGACAGCGAGTGAAATACAAAACGGTACTGAGAGTCGAAGCAGTTAAAAAAATGTGAAATGTTACATATCCGTAAGAACATACTAACGCAACGATGAAACTTTTTTACTTTTGGTTCATTATTCATAAAACTTTTATTAGCATAGTCGTGAGATCTTTCTGATTAAAATGATACCAAACGTGAAATATTTTGGATCATTTTGCCGTAATCAAGTGGTTTCTTCATTATTAGATTTGTTAATAACAAATGATCAAAATTATAACATGCTTGGTATCATTTTAACCAGAAGAATCTCACTAACATGTTAATACAGTTTTCATTAATAAAGAATAAAAAATAAAGAAGTTTTAGAGTTCTATTTGTATTGTCACATAGATACGCGGCGATTTAAACTTTTTTGTCTGCCTCAATTTCACCGTCCACTTAAGGTCAGGAAGCGCACGTATTTACATTGTCGCTTAATTGTTCCAAGGGGGATCCCACCTTTATTACGCAATACTACGCATGCGCGTAGATGATCTCACGTAATCGAAAAATTTAGAGAGTCTAAAACCATTCCCGAGAATTGCACTACACGATGAAACAAAACCGCATCGAAATTGATTCAGTAGTTCTTGAGTTATAAGCAAACAGAGGGACAGACAGACTTTCGTTTATTCAGGGTGTTCGACTACTAGTGGGAAAAAATTTCCCACAGGAGGAAAATTTCCCATAGGGAAGGGCGATTCTTTGTGGGAAATTAAGATGAAAATCAAGAATAACGAAATTGCGAGAAATGCTTCATTTGTTAGTTGTAGGCCTTTAAAAATTGACCCAAATGATGGCAATCCGCACGCACAGAGTGTCAACGGACCACGGTTCGTAAGGGGCGTACAGTCACTTTAAAGGCTCAACGACGTGCAGGAAAAGTAGGTAGAACAGCTGTCTACTTACCCCGTAGAAGTCGATAACTTGTGACCGCGGTATTTGAGTCGAATCTACTTGTATCGCATTAACTCTGATTACTCGATAAAATACGCAAGAAATGAAAAAATCATCTTTCGAATATTATCGAGTATAGAGGGTTGATGTCCCCTCTAGATGTCATGTACAACAATTGGCCTGTCCACGAGTATCCAAGAAATTAATCCACACATGCACGTACACCACACAAAGTTCGCGAAAAGTGTCTACACACATTGCACGATTGTCCCGTCCGCGAAAAATGTTCACAGACTGCGCGATTATGTGACCCGCGAGCGGTTCCCCCGTTGCGTTGAACACTCTACACGTTATACAAAACGAACACTGAAAATAATTAATTTAGAACTATTTACACTCATTTTTAACCTGCAATAATGAATAAAACCTACAATATTTAATAAAACCTGCAATAATTAATAAAATCTACATTATTTAATAAAACCTGCAATAACTAATGAAACCTACAATAATTAATTTGCACTATTTATAACAACGACGTACGCTACACTACTAAATAATCACAACGTAATCGCTAAATAAACTAAAACTTAGTTTTCCGAACATGAATTCGAATTGCTCGAAGAATGCAAAGGGCTCCGTTCGGAAAGGACAACTGATATTGTTGAACTGATTCTCCCTCGTTGGGATCGATGTGTCACAACAGGTCGATCCCCACTCTTTCATGGTCAATACTTTTTGGGAAGGAAATGCTGCATGAGAAAGTGGAGGTCCCGTTTCTCTTCGCATATTATTAGAGCAACATGTGTACTTTTTTTCATGCACCACTCGGGCCCACTTAGCCATGATGCCGAGGATGTGCGAGTCTGGACATTATAAAACTCTCTCTTGTCTTCTATAGTGCGACCACCCGCGGATTGCCTGCAACGCGTTGCTGCCATCGACGAAGACCTTGCCCATTGTGTTTTCGGCCGTCCCTCTTGACATTAACTTGTAAAAAGAACTTTCAACGCCGAATGCAAACTCCATGTTAGACACGGTTCATATTGCACATAATGTATGAGTTTAACAATTTTCTTTATTTTATTCTATGCAGCTTCTTCATGCACCGTAATAAAGGTGCAGCAAATTTCATCTTAGTTTCATTCTAGTATCATTACACGTTTTGTATGATCCATGTTAATTGCATATTATTCTTTTGCGGATATAAGAACCTCAAATACTTGGAGTAAGATCGAAGTGGAAATAAAATGTGCAATGCACATAAAACATACAGTAAGTCAATATTCAATATTTGAGGAATAAAGATATTATCCTATCGGGCGAAGCTTCGAACAATAAGCAATAATCGCATGCACTCATTTAAAAACATCGTTCAGCATCCTGCGACGGAGGACAATATCATCATAAACCGCGACCCTTGCCGGAGTTTCCGAACGAGCGCC